TTTTATAATTAGATATAAAAATAGATTTTTGAGATGATCTTAAAAATATTTTACATCAAAATTATATACCATGATAAAATTTGAAGGTGCACCTCACCTCTACAGCTACGGATGCATCCGTCTGCACCCTTGTTATATTAAACCGTGCACATACACGTTATATTAACAATGTTAATAAAATATATGTCGCGTTACAACACACATCTAATGATATTCCCCACGCGTGTATAAGTTGTCCCTTTCATATGCCCAACCCACTCACCCACCTATCATTGCGTTACATTTGCAATGGCACACGCACTAACAAATGAGGCACACAAGAAAGTCGGTATTTATAACCGCCCTTCCATATGGTTCTCCATGAGCGCATATGGACCACCGCCTTGTAAGAAAGGTGGTTCAAACTTTTTTTCTAGTAGCATCTTTATATGAACTTTTTCGGCATAGCCCCCGTAGGTGTGGAGGTAAGGTGCCCTTAAAATTTTATCATAGTATATAATTTTGATGTAAAATTTTATTGGAATTATCTCAAAATCTATTTTATATCTAATTATAAAATTTTAAATTTAAAAAATAGTTAAAATTAAGTAGATCTATAAACATATGAAAATCTTTAAAATGTATGGTGTAGATACTATGTTGTAAAATATACTATTTTTTAGACTTAAAATCTTTTTATTTTTCATAATCATACATCTTGATGTTGAGATGATCAATCAAAGGGTTTTTCAACATTAAAACTACTTTTTTCGATGGATTTTTTAAGGACATATGTAGTTCTACATTCTAAGGTAGCATCCTTATATAAACTCTTTCCTTTTTAGAATGACCCCTAATTTTGACAGTTTTACAGAGAGAGAAGATGAGAATATCCTCGAGAAAGAAATATCTAGAGAGAGAGAGAATTTTGATAACAATAGAAAAGATGTTTTTTTAAAAAAAAAAACCTCTTAAATTTTTTGAGATAGATAGACCTTTAGGAAGAGAGAGATAAAGCATTCACCTTACATCTTTAGAGAGAGCGAGAGGAAAAGTTCAGGGAGACTCCTAAACCATGAAAAAAGAGAGAGGGTTGAAAAGAAAGAGAGGGTTATGTAGGGAGAGAGTTTCTCTTTAAATAAATTTATTTATGAAAATTTATAGGTTATAATTGTTTAATTATTTACCAAAAAATACCATGATTTCTTTAATATATATTTTAATTCAAATGAGTAATATTGCTGCACAAACTTAGGGAATTTTTCTATTAGTAATTTAAATTAAAATAATCACTGTGCTGATTTTTTAGCCTTGACTCTCTTTTTTTATTTTTGTATCTAGAAAATGTTATGTATGCATATTTGATGATCGATGCTTTTCATCACGTGCAACGTATGTACTTCTTAATAGTAGCAATAATTAAATTGAACAAGAAGTAACAATCACCATTCTTTTTCTTTCTTTTTTTTTTTTTATTAGAAACAATCACCATTCTTCCTCCTCCCTTGCTACCCAAGGTAACCTGCAACGACCTCTCTCTCTCAGCCCGACCATATACTCTCTCTCCCTCTTCCCCATAGAACATGCACTCTCTCTGTTTGCTCTCTGTGCTGCCCAAGCTGAGGTTTTGGGGCAAGAGGGTTACTTAATGACCCAATTCTTCAACAACAAACAAGTATCAGTGGAAATGAGGTATCTGTTCTCCTCTAAGAACATTCTTCTAAAATAATCCACACCACAAAAGTAGTAATTTTCATGATTATTAGGCAATATGCGGCTTCAAATTTCAATGAATTTTGTGTATACAGGCTTCCCAAATCACCATCCAAATTTTGGGAAATTTTAAAATCCACTTCATGCCTTGAAAGGTTCACCTTTCTATTTGAGAATTGTGGGCCTCGGTAGTAGAACCCCTCCGACTATGATGAAGTCTCAGAGTCCATTCTCACGAGAGGATAGAATCGCACATCCTAAGTGACTTATTTTTCGATTTAACAAAAAAAAAAAGTTTCTAGCCTTTTAAATTTTCTCGATAATGTTTTCCAAACAAATGTGGGAAAGTGACTCGGTCAATAGAAATCTTTCTCCCCATGAACCAAAATATACATTAGAAGGTGATCTAGAGGATAGGTATTATGTCTATCCTTGGTCCCCTCATATAGAGATCATTAAGGTTACATGCCCCTTAACAATTCCAGTTCTATAGTTTTGGTCAAAGATCATTATCCTCCTAACCTCTGATGAGAGCCAGTGAGTCAAGACTTGCCTAGGCTGGGGAACTCGTCCCATTGTCGAGGCCAGTTACCCGGCTGAATCTTGAGGACTTTTTCAAGTCCTGACATGTTGTCAATAAATTTTTTAGAAAAATGAGAATTTTTTTAAAAAATACATTAAAATTAAAATAAAATAATAAACGACCTTAAGGAGTCCAAAGATGCTTTGAAAAGTTATTAGATAATGGATATAGAAAAAACAGATTTATAGCTGGGGTATTTAAGAATTTCAAAAAAATAAAATAGAATAAGACACAAAAAATACTCACCAATCTTTACCAAACACATATAAATCATATATAAAAAAATTTAGATCAATCCAACATTTTTTACAATTTTGTGGATTATTTTCCTTTAATATTCCTGACATACAACTCAGGCAAACTCAGCAGAGTCCTGGCCCACTGATGAGAGCACAAGAGTGGTCATTTGAGCTATTATTAAACTTAACACCATAGACCATCAATGCTTGAGAGATGCATGAAGTTGAACTACGGTGATGATCAAGGAGAGAGAGAGAGAGAGAGAGAGAGAGAGAGAGAGAGAGAGAGATTACCCAAGCTTCATTAGGCATATGCAGATAAAAAAATTAACACAAATTTACAATCGTTGGTATGTATGTAATAGGTAGGATGCTCTTATACATGCACAAATGAGAAATGAATATACAATGCCAGTCCCACTCTTCCTTGCAGAAAGAGGGGAGTGAAATTAACATCAGGCAATAAAGCATAGAACAGGTCCAAAGTTGCCCTTCCAGATTTACTCCTTTCTTACAAATAGCACACCCATGCTACAAATCACAAAGCCAACATCTCAATGATATGCCTATCGCTCTCTGTTACTTTTTCTAGCATGCTGACCCCAAATGGTTGGGATCAAGTTCAGATGTTGGCATTTTTTTTTCCTAGCAACTCGGTAAATCAGGAGGTGGAGGCAATAAGCGATCGCTTAGACTCGGTCCGTTCTTAGTGATGAATACTGTATTCATTCCCCATGTCAAATGACGTTCTAAATGGCAGTGTAGAAACCATACCCCTAAAAAGAAATAAATCTCGTTAAAGGTATTCAGATTCCAAAGGCTTCACCCTTCATCCAAAGAAACAAATTTCCATTAGTTAAAAAGATTTTATGCTCCTGGGTACGTATGTTTGTGTGTGCGTCTCTGTACATACATATCATTAAATAGGGTCTAGGCTCTAAATAATCAAATTAGAGCCTACCTCAAAACTTTTACTAGAAGATGTTTTTTTGATGCCCAAATATCATCAAATAGATCATCTCGATATCAAGATGCACAGATATGAGAAGAAAATGGATTTCAAGTTTTGAAAATAGTATAGCTTGTAACCTATTTTTGGACCGTCAAGTTTCAAGATTTTCAAGTTTTCATATATCTCCTCGATCTATACTATGTTTGAAGCTTTAAATTTTATAACTAAAGATGAAAATATAATTTAAGGTTATCACAAAACTTGCCAATATTGAAACTATATTTCTCGACACTATTTGAAGGTGGGCTCAAGTTTATTGTTTAGAGTCTCTATAATAGAGCTGAGGCTCTAAACAATCAAATTAGAGCACACCTCAAAACTTTCACTATAAGAGGTTGTTTTGATGCCCAAATATCCTCAAATTGATCATGTCGACATCAAGATGTATGGACATGAGAAAAAAAAATGGATTTCAAGTTTTAGAAATAATACATCTTGTAATACATTTTTGGACCGTCAATATATAAGATTTTCAAGCTTTCATAGATCTGCACAATCTAAACTATTTTTAAAGCTTTTAATTTTATAATTAGATATGAAAATATATTTAAGGCTATCACAAATATTTTCAGCATTGAAACCACATTTCTCAACACTATTTGAAGGTGAGCTCTACTTTGATTGTTTGGAGCCTAGGCTCTAACCACACTCATATATAAAAGCCGATCTTGGAATATATTTAGGACCAAAATTTCATATATTTAGGACCTAAATTTCAGGGATGTAACCTCTAAACTTACAGACCAAACCCAAGAAAAAATAAAATAATATATATATAAGTCGTGGAGGCAAGGCAC